CAGCAGAACAGAGCCCAGCGATCCATAAACATTCTATTAGCCAATAAATATCCCCAGTGAAAGCAAAACCGAGGCTCAAGCCTGGGCAAAGTTGGCGGACTCCAACTCCCCCAGCCTTGCCCCTCCTCCTCCCGACTGAGGACAGCGCCGGGAGAAGCTCGCGGCTTTTCCTCCACCCTGTCCAATGCCAGAAAGTCTCGGCTGCCGCTCCCTGCTCGGGAGAAACCTCTGCAGGGCTGGCGAGCCTCCCTCCCCGCCGCCGCCGCGCTCTTTGCTTTTCCACGTGAGAAAAGGAAATAGTCACGGCCGATGCTTCATTTCCACTGATTGATTTCTTTTTAATATCAACACAAGTTAATGGAGGCGCGGCGAGCTGTGATTCAGCGGCTGCCCCCACCCTGCGCCTGGGGCTGACTGCACCGCAGCTTTCCCCACCAGGTCTAGGGCTGGGGCGCGGGGCTGCTTGGAGAGGTGGGGGGGGGGGGGGCGCACAGGCCCGCAGAGCTAACGCCCTAGGGCTGACGAGGGATGGTGGCGGAAAGAACCTGGTGACCCCTGGGAATCAGAGGGGTGCTCCGGGGGTGGGGATCAGCTTTCCAGGGCCAAGCTCAGGGAATCCGGCTCCTCCGTGTCGCAGCTTCTGCGGCTCGGTCTGATCTGTCTGGAAGGAGAGGGAATGCGCGCTATGGTTTCTTGGCGTGTGCTCACTGCTTGCCTCCCTCCCCGCCCCCCCCCCACCGCACCGCCCTCCTCTCTTCCTTCCTTTCGGTTTCAGACAGAGAGGAGAGCCCCCTGGCGCTAGCCATTCGCTGTCAGCGCCTTGCCACGAAACTCCCCTTTGCTAGAGTTAATCGTGGTCCGCAGGGGACTAGGTTACGCTCAGGAAATCATTCAGGCCCTGACAATGGGTTTCTTCAGATGGTGGCAACTCCCAGCCTCAGGGTCCACAGCGCTTCGGGCCAAAAGAACCCACACCCTCTCATCTACTCCAAACACCCCGCCTCTGCTCGGAGATCTTTGATCGCGCTGGGGTTTTACTGCCACGTACAGGGGCAGACGCGGGCAATTCAACCTTCTGTCTGAAATGATCAGATAAGAGGTGTAAATTGGCGGTGGGAGACAGGCCTGAGGTCAAACCAATCCTGAAAGAGTCGCACTGAGGGGCTAGGCTCTGGTAAGGGTCTGAGGAGGATTTCTCTTAGCCTGTCTCCCTCCAAATGCGGGATAATTATGAGCAAGCATAATAATGTGCAACAAAACGATAAACTCCTAGATTCTACACAGACAGCCTGCTCCAGGCTCCGGGGACTGGTCTCATGCCCGCATTCCATGGGTGCCCAGTAAACTTTACCCCATAAACTGCCGCTGGAGGTAGCGAAACTGCGGCCTCTTGCCAACAGAGCACACAGTGCAAAGCAGTGGGAAGAGCACTGGGGGCGGGCGGGGAGGGGGGGGGGGCGCCTCGGCAAGCCCCTTCTTGTCCAAGATGTGCCGACAGAATTGTGACTGCCCAGGCAGCACCGCAGGTTTGGACTTTCTGGGGAGTCCGTCCATTAGGCCACAGAGCTCCCTGCTGACAACATGGAAGGTTGGAAGGCTGCAGGGACCGGAACCCCAGGCTCTGGAACAGGACTCCTGCTGTCTACCCAGTGGCTTCAGCCCCTGCTATTGAATGTAAAGTCCACACTGGGGCAATGAAAAGCCAGTTCCTACCTGCATTGAATTGAGAGGCATGAATGCAAATAACAGGGAAGGGCCTGGGGTGGAGGTGGGGTCATGGGGAGAGGCACCTTGGACAAGATGATTTCTGAGTAACCTGCCTGGTGTTTTCATGCAGCTGCTCATGGAAGCAACCAAGGCAATGAGCTGACTTTGGGTAACCCAAGTGTGGGACAATTCTGGGTTGACAGAATTCAGAGCTAGATTCATTGCTAAAGAGTTTTCAGAACGTATTCTGTGAAAGTCCAGTTTGGGAAGACGTTAGGAAGTAGAGATGTGACTTTCCTTTTCTAAAAGGATGGAGCAGAAGCGTAATACCATCTTGACTTCTTACACTGACAGGAGAGGATGCGAAAGGTGACGTCTGGGAAGTCGTTTGTAATATCATTAACATACT